CTCGGGTGTGAAATTTATGGTTTTCAGTGTTTTTGTTGTTAACTCTGTTTCCCTGGGTCTTTTCCCATGTGGTAGTTGTGTCTTATTTTGAAAGACATTTTTAGGCGTTACCATAGCAACCACAGAGCATTAAGGGGCAGAGAGGAGGATGTTACTCTCAATGTTGTTGATGCATTTCAGGAGGACGCTGCTAATAATAAACACACTTACACAGTGAATTCGAGTTTATTATATGTTTACAGAATACCACCGTTTTTGTCTTGGTCGTATCATTTTATTTTGTTGTTGTTGTATCCGTGACACCTTAATGGCCGGTCCGTGGCGCAAAAGAGGTTGGGGACTGCTGCTCTACATCATAAGTTTGAAAAATCATATCTTAAACACCCGCTGAGCGTGAACGGTGTTAATAAAAAGCCAGAGACATTGACAACGACACCTGAATAGGTTTCGGGTGCTCGGGTCTGTTCAAGTCTCAAAACCAAAGGGACAAAGCAGGGCACCGTGTCAAAAAAGACAAGAGGCTCTTTCAAAAATAAAAAAATTAAAAAGCAGATGAGGTCACGGTCAAAGAAGCTCGGGTCGTCATAAGTTTGTCAAAATTGAATTAAAGCTCAATTAACAAACAGCTGGATTAATTAACGCCTAAACTGACAGACCTGTGGCTGCTGAGCCACAAAAGAAATGAAAAATCCCCTCAGGTTTGGTGTGAAAGTGTCAGAAAGGAGGAGGTGATGCAGAGCAACAAACAGTGACAATAACAAAAATGCCTAAAATAATGAAGCACGATTCCCTGAATGGTATCGGTTACTATAAGGATAAGCTGGGCACTGAGCGCTGGCCTCAGATGTGACGTCCTGCAGTGTTTTTTTTATGAGGAAATCAGTTTGAAGACTACATATGGAGACTAAAAACAACTTAATGCTATTTACCTAAATGACTGAGCTCAACACAGTGAAAGTGTCATTCGCCCTCATTTAAAGTTGTGTTAGTCTCACAGTGTGTCTGTAGCTTCTGGTCAGATGGAGACAAAGATCGTCCAGTCAGAGTTTCTGCTTTATTTTTGGTGTTAAGCTAATTATCACGTGTCAGGAAGCTTTTGATGCACAAACAGTTTGTTATCAGCTCTGACAAAAGCTGAATAGTTCCCAGTTAATCAAGCCGGGGTCTGGCTGTCTATCAGCTGTGAACGGTGAATGTATTGCAGTCTATTGTGAAAATTCAGGGACAGTGATAGTTGTTAAACAGATTTACAGGAAATGATTATAAATCTTATACTTTGAGTAGTTTCATGCTGGTAGAAACAAACTACTCCTGCAGAGAGGGTTTCAACTTTGTCTTTTTCTTTTCTGATAATCAGAGCAAACGTAATGAGGTTTTAAATATCTCCCTGAGTTTGCAGGAACAACAGCCAACAACAGTAACGAGAGTCAGCAAGTCCCGAGAGGTGATGGAAAAGCGAATACGACCGACTACGATCGGGACGTCTCGCGCCTGCAGAACGACCATCTGGTCCATCTCTGCTGGACAAATCCAGGCATGTGTTGCTTGTACTTTGCGGCGATTTGAGTGCTGCTGTTACAGAGCACTTTGTTATTTCTATCTTTGCAGTTGTGACTTCTTTTGCTGCGGTTGCATTAATCTGGCATTTGCCATAAACACAAACAAATATCTTTCAAACGATAATGCACACCGCTATCCATCTAGCTCCACCGGGATGTGTCAAAACTTTAAAAAACAAACAAGTTCTGAACCACTGAAAAAGAAGCTCCTAAAGCTGTGAGCGTGTCAGGAAACCTGGAGGAGGTGACACAGAAGCACAGCAGAGGGCAGTGAGATTTTACACAAAAACAAAGATTTACTTTATTTTTATGACTAATCGCTTGGGAATTTTATCTGACCAATTAAAGATGAGCATGCGGCAGTAAACTTGTGGTCAGTGAAACCTGCTGTTGATCGGAGCTGAAGTCTCAAATGAACACAAGACACCAAAATTTGTTCATGTAATTTCACCAATTTACATGCAGCAGTTTCATTTCAGCGCAGTGAGTCCGAACTTTCTCTCCTCTGCTCTTGGTTACACTCTCAAGGAGAAACTGATCAAACGATGACAATGACTCTCAAGTGTTGATTAACTAATTTTAGGAGTGGTCCCTCGCTGCCTGGCCATCTAGTTTAAACTCATTAACATGTGTTAGGAAGCTTTTGATAAACAGAACATGCTAATAAGCATATTTAAAGCTGAACTACTCAGGGAAATACTTGCATTCATTTATCTCCCCTGCTCTCAGTTACATTGTTCATCACGTAAAGCTGAGGAGAAAATGGTCAAACAAAGACACCACTCAAGTTTCTGTCAGTTGAGCTGCTTCTGGGAGGGTCACGGTCTGCCATCTTTAGTTTAAACTCATTAACACATGTTTGGAAGCTTGTGATGAACTTACAAATAAGCTAATGATCAACTCTAGTAAAAGGCGAATAGGTCGAGTTTAATCAAGCCCGATATCAGGATTTCTTATGTACTTAATTTATATTAGCACAGTGTGTATCTTTCCCCATTGATAGCTGCTCTGCTATCAGGTGGAGTTTGTTTTATTCAATACCAGAGACAAAACCACTCAAGTTTCTGCCACTTTGACTGCTTCTGGAAGGAAATTGTAACTTTTCTTCCTCTTTGGCTTTTGACAGCACTTATTGGCACCAGTTGAAGCTAACTGATTACATTACCATAAGTTCAATACAAGGTGAGAGGGTGACTATCTCTGAGATTTGTTTTTGAAAAGACATCGTTCATTGAACGATCTGCCTGAGGACTCTGTCTCACCTGTGTGTCTGAGCCTTACAGGAGGTGGATAACTCTGTGACCCCCCTCTCAGCCACAGCCACCAGGTCTGACAACTCTTCTGCCCCAAACTCATGCATCTTTTAGAATTAGGGGCGAGGCCACTTTAGGTGCGAAGTAGATGCTCCTTCCTAAATGCTAAAGTTTGCTTTCACCAATTGAAATAACTGAACTGTCACCATATTTGTGTTGCTGGTGTCTTTGAGAGCATTTTTAATGAAACTAACTGATAAAAAATCTCATCTGCGGTGTGGTTAACTGTGCTAACATAACATCAAAGACATCTGTGCTTCACTTTAGGCGAATGGAGTTTTATTATGTTATTAGTCAGTTACATAACATTAATTAGCAGGAATCTATGTCCTTTAATTGCAGCTTGCAAGTTCAAGTTAGCTGATAACACTTCACCCTCTCATCTAAATGTTTCACTCATGGCTCCAAAAACCATCATGAAACTAACCAAAGCGCTTCAAAATAAGTAATAACAGTGTCTACATACATGTTGACACAAACATGGTTTTGGGAACTATCGGGACCCGACTAAAAGAAACAGGAACCAGTGGCCCGTACATATATGACGGGAGATGAGGTTAATGTGTTGCACTTGTAAGTAGTGTGCACCATGAATGCAGTATGTTCCACTTTACAAAGGCTCGGTGACTAACATCTGAAATCACCGCTCACCAACAGCTGAACTGTGTGTTAGGTAGATGGAGTGAATGACTCAGCAAAGCGGTCCTGATATTACTTTACGGTCTTCTTGTTTTAAACTGCTTGCATACAGATTTCACAGCGCTGAGTGGACGCCACTTCACCGCGATGACAGAAACGTGTCGTTGTCTTTTTAGTTTAACAGTCAAAGCAGGATCAGGGGAGACTCAGATACTCATGACACAGTTATTATAACAATACCTCACTCATGATACGATATTATTGCAATTTTTAACACGGTGACTTTTTAAATAACAATGCTGCAATTTCCCACCCTTTTTCAAACAACGCCCTCAAAGTTCAGTTTTGTTCATATCCGTTTTATCCTGATTAAGCTATTATTATACTGTAAAATAAGACTGAAGCATAACCAAAGCCGTCATTAAAAACTTGCCATAAATGAGACGATCTGTAATTGAATGGGGTCAAATTGGCAATTACATGCAGTGTGTTTCTGCATGTAATTGCCAATTTGATATGAGACACACAGAGAGACATCCTGATGAGGTAAATATCATCTTGTACTTTGATAAACACTCCAGAATTCAGCTTTGTGCGTTAAACGTGATAACACTGTTACACATACAGCAACAACAACAAAACTGTGTGTTTTTTCATAGCAACATTAGCATGTACGTCCTCAGATAACCTCGCACACACACACAACAACAACCACGCACAACACACACACACACACCACAAACACACACACACACACACACACACACACACACACACACACACACACACACACACACGGCTCCTCCTTAACCGTGTGCTGTTGTTAAGAGACTATCAGCTACACGAGTGTACGGTTATAGCCGTCTTTCTGAGGACCAGGAGGAAACTTAAACCTTGGAGGGACATCTCTGCAAAACTAGGACCACACCATTTGTAATGTGCCCCCGACTGCTGTCTACAATCTGCATTCTGAAGCCTCGACATTGATGGTTTTTTTAATCAGAAGTGACCATATTTAGACTGGAGGGTGGAACTTAGCACGCTAATGCTACTAAGCTAACAGGGTGTCAGCATTTGACCCAGATTTGTTCTACACATGTGCAAAGAAAATGCACATGCTTCCTTTGAATGGAAGCTATGGTTAAGAGTAAATGGTAAATGGACGGCTACTTGAGTAGCACTTTTCTACTCTACCACAAAGCATCATTCACCCAGTCATACACACATTCATACAAGCACTTTTCTATGCCTCATAAATGAGGAAGCGGATTTATTTAAACACACATTACGATGCATGCATCAAGGTATCTTGCTCAAAGATACTTGACATGCAGAGTGGAGGATCTGAGGAATGAACCCCTGACTTTCTTATTAGTGGATGACCTGCTTTAAATCCTGAGTCACAGATACATGGCCACACATGACTGTCAGGCGCAGGGAACTGTAGCCAGTGGCTATCTGAACTGGACTTGTGTTTTTTTTACTGTTTGTACTTTTGGAGCTGTTTTAAATTAAGTTATCAAACAAATATTATGACTTACTGTAAGGAGGTCTGTGCTGATGGCTGACAACTTGATGACTACAGTAGCTGATAAATTAGTATTTCACCCTACAATCCAAATCCAACTTATGGCTCCAAAACACCAGCATGCTAATGTTGAGTCTTCAAAATGCAGATCAGTGGGTGATGTCACGGTGGCCATGTCCATCTTTATCAGACAGCTTTCTAAAGTAATATTATTTGTCAGATAATTTCCGTAAATACGCTTCATGAGGTGCCAACAGCACAAACTTCAGTTAGTGGATGTGAAGCCTAGCAGACAGCTGGCAAAGCACAACCAGCGTTGACCCAAACCTTCGAGCCTTAACAAAATGATTGTTGGAGGAAGTTCTGTATAAAAATTATTGTTGCCATGGAGAAAGAAATTATACATAGAAGCCAAAACTTTGTTTTGTATGAGGTTGTGAACATGTTTATTTCTTCTGTAAAGTTAGACATATTAATATGGAAGTCTGTGGGGACTGATTGAACTTCCTCAAGTGGCCATTAGAGGAACTGCAGCTTTTGCAGTCTGATTGGGCCATTCAGAAATGACAAACAGTTTTACATGTGTGAACGTGGAGTCTGAACCTCTCTGTGGAATGGACCTGTAAAGGGCCGTGTGACAGACTCACGTCACAGGAACGCACAGTATAAAAAATAAGGTCCTCAAAGGTGTGAATGAGTGTGTGTGACGCTTACCAAACGCTGTAGGTGACATCTCCTGCATGATGGCTCTGTACTCCAAATGGTGACGACTCTGATTACTGGGACCTGCACAGGCCGAGATACATACAGGTACGTCAGGAAAAAACATTAGCTCACACTGTGTGGACACAATTAAGTCCTCATAAAGCAGATTGGTACGTTTTAGTGTGCAGACTTAGAGCCAAGGTACATATGTGTGTGTTATACCTGGGGCGCAGGGGGAGGGGGGTTTGCTCAGGATGAGGGCAGCTCCTGCAGGGGAAGGGGGCTTGTTGTTGGTTGATGGGGGAGTTGTGAGGTCAGAGTGGGAGGGGTCTGAGTCACGTTGCCGTGGTGACCGAGCGCTCCAGTCGTCTAGCCCGCTGGAAGCTGCCGCTGTTGCTGAGCTGCAGGTGGCACTGGCCTTACGAGGCTGAAAAAAGAGAAAAGTTTTGGTTTTTGTTACACCAGCAAAGTTTCATCCACTTAAACTGAATTTAAGACATTTTTTTCATTATTTTTCATGCCTTTATTTGACAGGATGGTTTAAAGCAGACAGAACTGATGCTTTTTAAGTCACTGGGTCAGTAGGTCCAAATATAAATGGCTATTTCTTCTGTTTTACAGGCCCACAAATAACCAGCTGATTTACTGTATATCCTGCTAATCTATCAGAATATAGCATATTCATTTATTATTGTTGCTCCTCTTTAAACTTCCCCTGAATGCTGCAGATATCTCTGTTAGAAACAGGGAAGAAGGTTTGTGTCAGCCTGCAGTTTACAAGAAATCTTCCAGATTTAAATATCCAGCAGTTTTTCTGCATACTGCTTGCATCTTTCATTTTACATCTTCTTAATTCAGTCGTTGCTGTATATAACAAATCAGTGCTGAGCAGCTGCTTCATATTTTAACTCTGAACATTGGTGTTTTTTGTTTTTTTTAAGGACCTTCATTGGTATTCCAAAGTGAAACTACCGACTATAAAAAAAAGGAAAAACCCACTCATTATTAAGGGGATTTGAGGCAATTTGCTTCACAGGCGTCTCACTCTGTGGAAAACACCTCCACCTGACCATCAGTTATATTTGTTTAACCAGGAAGCTCCTGCAGGAGTGGGTCGACAAAGGGAGCATTAACAAGCATGTTTTTTATGACGGGAGAAATCGATGCTCTGCTGGAAAACCGGGACAAGCACACGGAGAACATGCAAACTAAACACCGGGTGTGTCAGAGTGAATGAAATGATGGGTATGGGTAGTTGGTATCCTTGTCTTTGTATCTGACATACATGGTCGACAAAAGCAACTGTGTGGCTCACAATCCATCAAAAGTCACAGTTTATAGTTCATTTGGACGAGCACGTTTGATTCAGGTCTGATTGCTACTGCAGGAGGAACAGCGACTCTTGTAAATTACGGATGCACGGTCGAAGTGTTGTCGCCTCGCTGTGGCACGAGCTCATCTGTCGTTCGGCTGAATGAGGTAAATAAATGGTTTTGGTGGCCTGATATGAACTGCAGTATAATTTTCTTTCAAAGAAAAGCACAAATTAGCCAGCTGGCTCTGTGGGGTTTTAAATGATGGCGACAAATTAAAGTGAAAAGGTTCAAAACCTTTTAACCCCGACAGTGAGTGACGGTTAGGGTCACCTATGGCAATCTGATTTTTGTTCCAGGTCCAACTGTGGGTCCTGTTTAAAATGACCATCGACTGAGTTGGTGTTTAGCTGAAAGCACGATTCATATCTGTCTGTATGGTTTGTCTGAAAGCATTAAAAATGAAAGTAAATCCATCACATTCCTACATTACATAAGCAGTTACGAAAACAGGGCGGATGGTTTAAGGATTCTGCTGCTAGAACAACAGGTTTTTCTCGAAAGTGAAATAAAAGCACACAGTTCTGAGTCAAATAATTTTCAGTGAATATTCATGGCCCGGCTCCCCCGTCCCACCTGTCTGGCCTGTTTCTCCTGGTCCCGCAGCCACTGCAGGTAAGACTCCCGGGCCACCTGCTCCTCAATGGCCTCGTTGGTGGCCTCCCAGTCCGTCGCCCTCTTTTTGTCCTCCAGCATCTGCTGCTCGATCCACGACTCCTCTGACGTCTTGATGGCCGACTTCATAAGAGACTGGTCCGCATACTGCGAGGAGGAGGAAATATATTTATTATACACACATAACTCCCTGAGCTAAAAGGCTAAATATCAGCTAGAACAGCGGTTTTCTTTAACCCTGGATTTGGTCAGATTTTATTAGTGACTGGGAAAAGGAGACAAAACAAGGCACAATGTGTCAAACTTAAAGCCCTTCATAAATTTCACTTCTGCCTGCAGGACGGTTAACACAGACAATCTCAGCTGAGGTGATAAAACTCAGTACGTCTTTATAAAGTGTAAAGAGGGGGGCTGAGCATCCATTTGAGACCATCTCGTATCTCTGTTGTCATTTTGAAACCACGCAGCAGCAGAGATATGGAGTCACAGACGGAAATGGCGCCTTCAAAGAGTCGCTGAACTGAAAACAGGCATGCATCTACATAAAAATACGTTTCTGCATCACAAATCTTGAAGCGCTGGAGCTGTAGACGAATGTTTCGTAACAGCACTCACAGGAAAGTTTTCATCACAAAACCCTGCCAAGTTTGAGACTTGTAGGCTTTGATCTGCCCCCTCTACTGTACATATAAACGGCATGTTTCAAGAAGTTGTTCTCAGGCCCGTTAAACAGACGGCGTGAGACCGTAATGACCCCGACGCCGTGTAATCAAAAACTGAATGCAATGATTTGGAACCAGCAAACCCTTCGATTATTCACAATACAACACAGAAAACATGTCAACTGTTTAAACTGAGAGAAAAAGCTCGCAACTTTAGCAAGTTAACTGACAACAGGTAAGCAGCACGATTGGGTGTAAAAGGCGCGTCTTGGAGAGGCGGAGTTTCTTAAAACTAAAGATGGACAGAGGTTCACCAGTCTCCAAAAAAACTGGACTCTGCATGCTGAAGTACTTCATCTTGAGAAATTTCTGGCGCAGAAAGCAAGGCTGAAAATCAATATTGGATGCCCGTGATCTTTGGACTGTCAGGCGGCACTGCATTTAAGACAGTCATGATTCTGTCATGGAAATCCGTGCATGGGCTCAGGAACACTTCCAGGAATCACGGTCTGTGAACACAGCCTGTTCTCTGTGCCATTCAAACAACAAATGCAGGTTAAAGCTGCAAAGAAGAAACCACACGTGAACATGATCCAGAAATGCTGCCACCATCTTTTCTGGGGCAAAGGTCATTTAGATTGAACTGAGACAAAGTGGAAAACTGTTCTGTGGTCAGACAACTTGAATTTTGTCCTGCTATGGAGGCGAGAGACCATGCAGCTCAGTTCAAAGCCTGCATCTCTGATGGTATGGAGGTGGATTAGGCAGGAGTCTTCGCTCTCCCATCCAAATCGTTGAACTCGGGTGTTTCAAACACTTCATTGGCCACAGGTGTATAAAATCAAGCTTGATTCGCTTGATTTACCAATCTGTCATGCTCTACTTTACTGAGCTTTACTACTTATTTATTGTGTTACTTGTTGTGTTTTTGCAGAACTGGGATTTCCCAACTTTTAGGATAACTAAAGTCAGTCTGATGTGCTAAGCGAGTTTGGTTTTTGTACCCCAGGTTTGAAGGCGGGCAGTCCCAGTCCGACCCCGATCGTGGCCTTGTTGGGATTAACCACGGAGTTGTAGTGGATGTTGCGGTGGTAGCTCACTCTGATTGGTTCGTCGTGGTTCTGATGGATGCCGTGGAACGTGTTGATTGGTTCTGGAGGAAGAGGAGGAGGAGGTTGTTAGATGGATGCGACTGGCTGACGGCGATGAAGGTTGTTTCTCGACTCACCTGTGCTGTACTGGTAAACCTCCACTGGCCTGTTGTACATCTCCGCCATGGCCTGCATCTCGATGTGGTTGCCATGGCAGTTGTTTTTCCTCTTCCTGTTGATGTATGTGGTGAAGTCCTCTGTCACGTAGTTGGAGAAATAATCTGCGTTCTTCATCTGAACGCCAAAAGCAAAAACTTTATAAACACAGACTCGAACTGTAAGAGTAACACAGGAGGAGGAAAAAAGGACGCGTCTACTCACCAGGTAGTCCATACAGTGTTTCCGCACCACTTCATGCATGTCCTGGTCTCCATACACCTGATCAGCTGAGACACAGACACACAGGAAGAGTCAATTCATTTGGGATTCAGTATAAATGCTGGTAATTTGCCAGAACATTAAACAGATTTAAGAGGTTTTTATCAATGCCACTCAGAATTAAACTAATTCACAACAACCAAGAATACTGAAAAATACGAATACATTAGGGGCGCGTCGCTGTTCGCATCCAGCAAACGAATTTCTCTGTCTTGATTTCAGTCAGTTTGAAATGCCTGCATACATGTGCAGGGTCAGTTTAACAATGATGGCTGATTTTCTCCATCTCACTGCCGGCCAGCAGACATGCTAACGACACGAGCATCCAGGCTACCAACGGATTCAGCACTTTTAAGACTTCTGAATGACTGAAGACATTTTTACTCCAATAAAAAAAATTAACTGTCCTGTTGCTGTGAATCACTAGAGACCTGTCGCTGTGACAGCTCCAGCATTTAAGAAAACTGATATTTGGATGAATTCTAAAGACTTTTAAGATTTTTCCAGGATGTGCAGGAATACTGTAGGTGATTTCCACGAGGAAGCAGATTTAATTTTCCACTAGTCACTTGAGGCTAGTGAGGTCACTTTGTGATCCTTTGACGTCGCTCGTTAGCACTGGACTCGCTCAGAACAGTGAGCTTGGTTTAAGCGATCCTGAGAGAGGTTAGTTTTAATGAGAGCATCATGCACTGTTGCAGTCTGCTAATTGGAGTATGGACCCTGTTTTGTCTTTTTAAGACTACGCAAAGCTTTGTCTCTTCTTTTCAGTCCTCATTCTCGGCCTCTGCAGCTTTTTAAAAAAAACTGTTTTAATTCATGTGCATGCATGATTGCATGCATTCATGTACGCAAAGTTTTTAAAGAATCCCTCTCGGGCCGCCTAATATTTCAGTGTGGAAAGTTTTACTGGAAGTTTCTGCTTGACGTTGACAACTTTGCAAATGGCAGTGGATGCACAAAGGTCACGTCAACCTATGAGAACGGCTGTGTTCTGGTTTGGTTTTGGCTTGTGGTGCAGCTCTCGATTCTTTTTAAACTTTGAGCAGGTCAGTGTTACCGGCATTTAGTCAATACATCACTGCAGGAGGTCAGAGATTCCTGAATCGCACAGAGACGGAGACTGCAGCAGAAAACTTTGAAAATGCCTCTATGATCACTCTGTCTCCTCTTTCAGCTCATGCTCTAGATTATGACAACTATCCTGTAGGATGTGGCTCCAAAATAGTGCGTTTTAAGCCAAGTTCAGGTGCGCTTCGTGATTTTTGTGTTCACCAAATATTACTACTCTAGCTGCAGAAAAAGACATTTCAATTTACTGTAAAAGTTACATTTTATAGCCTCATACTATTGATGTAAGGAGCCTGAGCGCGTCATTGGCTGGAAAGACTTAAGACACCATCTTGGTGTTAGTTAAGAGACAGTTGGAAACCAAACATCCCTTCTGATAAAACCCTTGTCTGCTGTACAAGAGCACTGATCTATGATTTATAAGCTAGTGAGGATTACTGCAAAGTAGAACAATTGCAGGCATCACGCTCAAAAGTGGTTTCATCTGACAATTCAAAATAATAATAATAATAATAATAATTCAGGAATGCTTGTAATCGGAGGACATAAACACTGTTTTGTGCATATATGACAACATGTGTGCCTTAAAATTTTGATTTGACCTTTTGTGTGGAAAGGGAACAAAAAGCTAAGGAGGACTGGCGAGTCCAGGGTGGCCTGAGCGCCCGCCATTATGGTTGCACAACTGTGCATGCAAGCAAGGGACCAATGTTGCAGCCATAATTGCAGCATTAGTGTCCCCTGCACTGCCTGCACTGCCCTTTGCAGCTGGTCCTGAGTCTGCACAGAAGCAATGCACTTTCTGCACTGGTCAAAAAAAAGCAAAAAACACTTTCAGTGCTGCAAGGATGTGACAAAACTTATGCTGCTGACAACTGATGCATAATATTTAGTCTGTGAAGCCCGACTTCAAAGCCAAGTGTTGGATTAAAAAAACAACAACCTAAAAACACTAAAAACAAATTAAAACAATATTAATTGATCAATCTGTCGCTCATTTCCCTTTGATTTCACATGTAGATTATTTTCACTGTTTATTAGCCAGTTTTTGCGTTACATGTCAAAAAATTAGAGAAGCAGAAAAAAAGTCAACAAACAAAAATAATGTCACACAAACACACTTCCTGTCTGAGATGGCGGTGGGATGTAAATGAGCCCCATTTCGGTTCAGTTTACAGAAAGTCACATGATCTGTCACCGCAGTAATTCTCAGAACCCCCCCGATGACTTCCTTTTTCTCACTAGCGGTTTGCTTCGTGTTTTTGTGCATAAACATGGCGGTATGACTGCAAAGTGACACACTCATAACACATCTGATACACACACACGGCTGAGCAGCAGCAGCAGGTGTGTGTGTGTGTTTGTATATATATATATATCTCAGAAACATTCAAGAGGGAATCTCCCAGTAATCTCCCACTCAGAGCAGTGGCATGCACCCCGGTGCAGGATCTGGAGCGCAGCGAGGTTAACCCGCGGGTTAGTCACACATGCACAAAAACCACAGTTTACTGACCAACAAGTTCTCAGAAAAATGGTGTAAAAGAAGGGCAGCTTCTTTTTTTTTGCAGATAGCCACACTGACTCATGCTGGGATTAAATGACTTTTAATGTGATTGTATTGATGCAGACACGTGTTTAATGCTGCAATAAAATTTAGCAAAACTTCAGTTTTGCTAAAGTTGTGACAGTTTGGTACAAATGACAGTGCAAACTCCAAAAACTCCGTCAGTTTGTCTAATTTCAGGCTTTTTTGATAGAATGAACATGTTTGATATCATTACACCTTTTCTTCATTGCAGCTCATCCAAAAAGACACAACTTTGACTGGCAGAGTTTGCAAAAGATCTCGTGAACTTTCACACCACTGTTGTCTTCGTCCATCTTTGCACGTTTCTTCAGACTATTTTATTGCTAAGCATCAAGGTGCATTAAACTGCATCCCTTTCACTGCAGGATCCCCAGGATCTGTTGGTCACTGGGTCAGTATTGGCCCTTGGACCACGTTTTGCCCACGTGAAGCCTTGGAAGCCAAGTTTGGCTTGGGCAGCGAGATGGTTTGTGCAGGTTCAGTGTTTTTCAGCAGCAACAGGTGCATCTGAGAGTTTGTTGAACAAAGGCATGACGCAAGAAAAGCAGACAGGAGACAAGCACAAAAGACAGAAAACCAGGAGAGGAAGGGACACATGCAACAAGGAGAAGAGAAGGCTACAAGAGGAGAAGGGAAACATAGGAGGAGACAAACAGGAGACGATAGAAGACACAAGGAAATAAGGCAGAAAAACAAAACAGAAGAGGAAACCAAAGCTAGGAGAGGAGATGCGAGACAAGGAGATGAGGCAGGACACAAGGAAATGAGGTAGGAGACATGAGCGGAGACAAGATGCAGAGGAAAAGGAAACAAAAGGGCGAATTTGAGTTGGTTGCTGAGAAATACCACACACACCACGACAGATAGACTTCTGCAGAATTAATAATAAACCACATGCACACACACTCACACCCACACACAAACACGCACACATAAACCACAGCGAGCGTTGTGATTGGTCAGCTTGGACAGCTTTCTCAGAAAGAGGTGGGCCCTCACAGAACCGTGTCCGTCTTGTTTGTTACACCACTGCTGTCGATAAAGTTTTTATCTGAAACTCGCAGTTTGACTCCACCCTGACCGCCAACACCAGCAAAGGCTTCTGGGTACTGAAGTTCAGAAGCAAGCTTTAAATTACCAGCAGCTGGACACTAACATGGACAGAAGGGATGTAGATCCTCCTGCTGCTGATTAGATCTCATTATTATTAGTATTTGTTCATAGTGATCAATAAAAACAAGTTATTATTGATTAGAAATATCAGACATTGAAAATATTAGCAGAACCAACATTCTTGGTAGCAGTATTCATATCTTGGTAATCAAGCTTCCAGCTGTCCAATCAGAGAGCAGAGTGACGTCACCATCTCTTCTGCAGAACTTTATCAGCTCCGAAGCTCCGCCCCTGTTTTACACATTCGGAAGCGGGCCGCGGACCACGGAGGCGCCACAGTGACGTGACGTGTGGGCCGCTGGGCCTCACGTCCTTCCTCCTTCTGCAGAATTAAGCTCACTGTCAAGCAGGAACCTCAACTTCCAGTCAGAGGTCAGCTTTAATAACATCAGGCGACCTCAAACAGAGAAGTGCGGCGACTTTGTTAGGTCCTTTAATATGTTCAAAACCTGATGGTAAACTTACGAGTGGTTCAGATCAGCTGCAGTTAACTGACCCCAAAAACTTTTTTGTGTTTGCGAGCTGGCGCTCCACGACCTCGCTCCACAACGTCCACCTCCCTGCAGCTGTTTATCCAGCTGTTTCAACCCTCAGAGCTGTGAATCCAATCAAAATGTCAAATTCTGACACATTTTTATCTATAATTGTCTGACTAGTTTTCATATTCTTCATACGATTTGTTTTATAGTTTTCTTCTGTTTTTGAAGTATTTCTTACTATGTTTCAAAAACGCCTTCATTCTTCACTTGCAGCCTGACCTTTCTTTGATTCTGCAGAAGTTTAACTGTGTTGTTTCTTTAGACACTGAGTCACTTATTTACTCGTAAATAATGCAACATGAACTCAGAGATTCACAAGGAGATTGCAGAGAATTCAAGGGGAAAGTTAAGAGGGAATTTCCTCACAGCTCAGTGTAG